TGTGCTGTAGCTTACAGGAACTGGACGTGAGAGGTGCATCAGCCTGTCCAGAGCCAGCCGTCCATCAAAGCTCTACCAAGAGCTCCCCAGGACAGAGCCCCACCGACCACAGGCACTTGGAAATTAGGTATAAAAAAAGTTATGTCCTCTAACCATTGACTGAATAACACCTGAAATTTATGTGAGCTCGAAGAACATTTTCACGTTGTGTATGGCTTCAATTAGTTTGACTGTATTAAGGTTGGTAACCCGGTTGAATCAGGCACCCCGAAAATTACAAAATACCAAATGCATGACACCACAGTTATGTGTGAGCATGGGCTGATGAGTCACGAATCCATCGAGATGTCTTATTTAAGAGGAAAGAATGGGCGATTTTAGGTGAGATGGTCCTGAAGAAAGAACCAGATGCCAGGTCTAGTTTCATACTATAGTAGTAGCCGGAATTTTTCTACTTATCCGATTCTACCCTATGATGCAAACTAACCATACAATTCAAACACTTACATTATGCCTTGGGGCTATTACTACACTTTTTACTGCCCTTTGCGCACTTACTCAAAACGATATTAAAAAAAATCATTGCATTCTCAACCTCCAGTCAACTAGGTCTAAGAATAGTAACTATCGGTATTAAGCAACCGCATCTGGCTTTTCTACACATCTGCACCCATGCATTTTTCAAAGCAATATTATTCCTATGCTCAGGCTCAATCATTCATTCCCTAAACAATGAGCAAGATATCCGCAAACTAGGAGGCCTATGTAAACCTCTACCATTCACTACATCAGCCCTAATTATTGGCAGCTTAGCCCTTACAGGCATGCCTTTCCTCACAGGATTCTACTCAAAAGACCTAATCATCGAAACTGCTAACACATCTTATACCAACGCCTGAGCACTTCTAACAACCTTATTAGCTACTTCTATACCAGCAATTTACGGCACTCGTATTATCTTCTTTGTATTCTTGGGCCAACCACGATTTCAATCAATAGTTACACCAAATGAAAACAACCCTAACTTAATTGACCCTATTAAACGTTTAGCAATTGGAAGCATCTTCGCAGGTTTCCTCATAACAAGCTTTATCCATCCTTCATCATCCCCTGAACTCACATTACCATTCTCCCTAAAAATAGCAGCAATAACAGTAACTGTACTTGGATTTATTCTAGCTATAGAACTAAATTCATTGACTACTAAACTTAAAATCAACCAACCCTCCCATTTACACAACTTTTCTAACCTACTAGGATTCTACCCCACTACAACCCACCGACTTCCCACTTATAAAAGCTTAAACTCCAGCCTTAATCTAGCATCAACCACCCTAGACCTAATCTGACTTGAGAACACACTCCCCAAAAACATCTCAATCATTCATAAAATTACCTCTATTAACCTTTCCAATCAAAAAGGATTAATCAAACTTTATATCTTTCCTAGTAACCTTATGTCTTAGCCTACTACTAATTACCTAACTCCCCGAACAATCTCAATAACAATAAAAATGCTAACAAATAAAACTCATATACCGACAAACAATAATCAACTCCCCATTCCATACAACAGAGAACTTCCTGCGTAATCCCCACGAACTAGACTGCCACCAACTCATCACTCAATTATACTATTACCAAAACTATTCAACATAATACCACTCACTATATAATCTGACCCAACATTTAATCATACCATTAATATAAACTCAATCAATACCCCTATTAATACTCAGGTTTTGGAGACTTTAGGGGCGGGGTCATAGGGGTAAATAAATGTTGTTAAGCTTACTTGGAATAAAACAGGTCTGCCCCGTGTGCAGACCTGTGTGTGACGTGTGCACCGTGTGCGGAGCCGTGTGCAGACCTGTGTGTGACGTGTGCACCGTGGGCGGTCCCGGGTGCAGACCTGTGTGTGACGTGTGCACCGTGGGCGGAGCCATGTGCAGACCTGTGTGTGACGTGTGCACCGTGGGCGGTCCCGGGTGCAGACCTGTGTGTGACGTGTGCACCGTGGGCGGAGCCGTGTGCAGACCTGTGTGTGACCTGTGCATCGTGGGCGGAGCCGTGTGCAGACCTGTATGTGACCTGTGCACCGTGGGCGGAGCCGTGTGCAGACCTGTGTGTGACCTGTGCACCGTGGGCGGTCCCGGATGCAGACCTGTGTGTGGCGTGTGCACCGTGGGCGGCATCGGGTGCAGACCTGTGTGTGACGTGTGCACCGTGGGCGGAGCCGTGTGCAGACCTGTGTGTGACGTGTGCACCGTGGGCGGAGCCGTGTGCAGACCTGTGTGTGACCTGTGCACCGTGGGCGGAGCCGTGTGCAGACCTGTGTGTGACCTGTGCACCGTGGGCGGCACAGGGTGCAGACCTGTGTGTAACGTGTGCACCGTGGGCGGAGCCGTGTGCAGACCTGTGTGTGACGTGTGCACCGTGGGCGGTCCCGGGTGCAGACCTGTATGTGGCGTGTGCACCGTGGGCGGTCCCGGGTGCAGACCTGTGTGTGGCGTGTGCACCGTGGGCGGTCCCGGGTGCAGACCTGTGTGTGGCGTGTGCACCGTGGGCGGTCCCGGGTGCAGACCTCTGTGTGACGTGTGCACCGTGGGCCCAGGTGCAGACCTGTGTGTGACGTGTGCACCGTGGGCGGGCCCCATGTGCAGATCTGTGTGTGACGTGTGCACCGTGGGCGGGCCCCGTGTGCAGATCTGTGTGTGACGTGTGCACCGTGGGCGGGCCCCGTGTGCAGATCTGTGTGTGGCGTGTGCACCGTGGGCGGCCCCGTGTGCAGATCTGTGTGTGACGTGTGCACCGTGGGCGGGCCCCGTGTGCAGATCTGTGTGTGACGTGTGCACCGTGGGTGGCCCGTGTGCAGATCTGTGTGTTACGTGTGCACCGTGGGCGGCCCATACGTAGAGCTGATCATAGGCTTCCCAGTGGCTGATTTTGCAGACGTGGGTTGCCAGCCTGCCTTCTCAGGCACTCCTGTGTGGCCTCAAACTTCTGACCTTTAGGTTAGGTGTAGAGTGGGGTCATGTGCACTGAGTTGGGACCCTGGAGTCAACTGAGACACGCAGACGTCCAGTCCAGGTGGGGGTGGACGGTGGTGTGCACACTCCTCACTCACAGGTGACACCCAGCAGGGAGTGACTGGTTCTGCCTGTTTTGTGGAAGTGGCTGCTTGCGGCCTGCCTCACCCCATCTGCCCCATTCACCGTGTAGCTGCTTGTTTCCTGGTGGAAGAGCCGAGGGCTGGGGTGGGGAGGGCTGTGTCTCCCAGGCTGGGGCAGAAGGCTGCCCCGCTGCCCCTCCCAGCCTCACTTGACACAGAGTTTGTTTAAATGTCATGGGAGAAGGCCCCACCATGCAGTGACCCTCTCTGTGAATGCCTGCACCCCCATTTAGCACCCGCCCACACCTGGTAGGAAAGTGGGGGTTCTGTTTCTGTGTGTCCTATGACTGGAGACCTGCAGGACCAACACTGACCTGCCAGCGTGCACAGTTGTGGGCTGCTGTGACTCTGGAAGCCACCACACCAGGACATCAAACACCAGCAGGGCCACCGTGTTGGACAGGTTTCAGCGGAGTTTCCAGACGAAGAGAGCAGAAAACATTGCCCTGCGTGGTACGGAATGAGCCCCTTGGCTGGAGGGCACCCTACACGGACAGCGGACACAACCACAGACATGACAGCGGGCGGCACAGGGCCGGGTGGGGTTGCTTTGTGTTGAGTGTGGGGCCGTCATGAGCTGAAGCCACAAACTTCAAGTCCCGTCTTCCCCGGAGCAAATGTACTGTTTCCAGGCCTTTCTCTGGCCCCAGATTTCGTGTGTAAACAAGGTGTGGTCCCAGCTGGCCCGGGCTGCAGACCAACAAAACCCCCCACAGTCCAGTCGGTCATGGCTCGATGGTCCTGAGGGCCAGAGCAGAGCTGCCCTGCAGGGATTTCAAGGCTGTCCCTTTTCATCCCTTCCCCCACAGGGCAGCTGGTGGGTCCGCTGCGCCACCAGCACTCCTGACCCATGCTTATCGCCGAGGGACAAGGAAGCCTGCTCTCATCAGCAATCCTTTACTGACCATCACCATGGGGTGAGGAAGCTTCTGCAGTGGAACTGTCAGGTTAAACATTAGTGTGCTAGCTCAAAGGTTGGTGGTTCGAACCCACCAGCTTCTCCGAGGGAGAGCGAGGAGGAAGTCGGCTCCTGTAACGATTTCAGCCTCGGACACCTGACGGGCAGAGCCCTCCGTCCTCCAGGCCCCCTGGACTGCGGGGTTTGGTTGGTTTCTGGTGAGGCCACTAGGGGGTGCTGTTGCAGAGCCAGCCACACCTCCCCCTTGGGTGTGTGTGTCTGTCTGTCTGTCTGTCTGTCCAGGTTCAACCATCTTATCAGAAATACTGCATATGGACCCTTGATCTGTACCTGTGTGTCCAGGTACTGCTGGCACCGAGGCGTGCCAGGTTTACCCAAGTCTGTTCCATTGTTGTTAGGTCTTCTAGTCAAGCACCACTGTGGCCCTGTTACAACAGCTGGAACCCCTGCCTTGCCCCGTGACAGCCTCACAGTGCCCACCGCTGTGTGTTGTCACCACGTCAGTCCACTGCATTGAGGGTCTTCTTCCTTTCTTTCACCAACACCCTGCCTTTCCAAGCATGGAGTCCCCTTCCAAGGACTGCCCCCCGCCTGGGTCAAGCATCTGAGCTGCAGTGTCACCCTCCTTCGCTCTAAGTGCCCCCAGTCCACTTCTTCCAAGACTGATGTGTTTGTTCCTTTGCCGGCCTGTGGGATATGCAGCACCGGCGTCACAGCTCCCAGCATGCAAGTCACCCCCAAGGGCCAGCTGCGACGGGAGGTGGTCTGACTCCCCAGCCGTGGCCAGCCTGGCCTCAGTAGCAGAGCCTCGTTGAGGCCCCTTCCGTCTTCAGTGTACGCCGGTGACTCCTCTTCCTGTAGTGCCCTTTCTGGTATTATCTAGAACTTTCCATGCACTTGGTTCAGTGAAGGGAAAGGCTCTCCCACCTTCACTAGCCTCTGGAGAAGTCAGGAAGTTGAGGCACCTCACCCAAGTTCTGTAACTCGCCCCAGCCCCGGGGGGTCACTCTGGGGCAGCCAGGCTCCAGCCCGCTGAGTCCAGGTCTGCACTGGACCCCGTCATGGCCGTGCTCCCGGTTCCAGCCTCACCCTTGTCACCAGGAGAGACTTGGGTTTCTAGGGTTTGCCCCAGCTCCGGTGGCTCAGTGGTAAGGAATTGTGCTGCCAATCCAAAGGTACACAGTTTGAATCCACCAGCTGCTTTGTAGGAGAAAGACGGGCAGTCTCTTCACCGTGATTTACAGCCTCTGAAAACTGCAAGACCAGCTATGGGTCTGTTCTGCCTCACTGGTCAACAACCATAACAACCAATGGCTTCACGCTTTGCTAGTTGTGCTGGTACCCGAAAGGTCAGAGGTTTGAATCCAACAGCAGCTCCGATGGGGAAATGTGGAGAATCTCATCCCATAAATATTCACAGCCTGGGAGTCGATGGAGCACAGCTATGATGCTGAACCGGCTGGGCCGTGGTGGGAGGGTCAGTGTTAGAACGGCTCTCCCTGCTGCCCACCTAAGACCCTCTGGACCTGCACCACCCCGGGTGGGTCCTGACCATGCAGCCCTGGAGGCCCCTGTGATGGGGGAACCGCCCAAGGTTTCCAAGGCTGCATGTTCCCAGAAGCCAGCGGCCTGTTCTCCCCACGTGTGGCTCGGGGCTCGAACTCCTGATCTTCTAGTGAGGTGCTTTACTGCAGCATCACCGCGTCCTCTCCTGTCCTCTTGATCTGTCTCTTCTGTGTGCTGACCCAGTGAACAGTGGGTGGAGGCCAGTGAGAGCACAGCCTTGGAAACCGCCCTGCCCTGACCATCTAAGTGACCAGCCTGGAGCCCTGTCCCCTCACAGGTCTCCTGTCCCCAGTCAGCTCGAGGGGACGAGGCTGACTTAGGCCCTCAGCAGACCTCACAGGGCACCACTGTGCCAGGCGTGGGGCAAGAAAGACAAGAATCCATCCTTGTGGGAGCGACCCGCCCCCAGCAGGTAAGAAACTAGCACACAGGGGTGTGTGTTGGGCGATGGGGTCAGCAGAGAACAGTGGGGCAGGGATGGGCAGGAAGTCTCCGCTTTGGATGGAAGGGTGTGGAAAGACCTGGGGAGGTGGCCCTGAGGAGAGCCATTCCGGAAGTTGAGGGTGCAGCAGGGACACCCCGGCAGACGAGCCAGACAGGGGACCTGGGGCAGGGCGTGCCCGGACGCTGAGACCAGAAGGTCAGAGAGGAGCAGGGCCTGTGGGGACGGGCACACTCAGGCTTTTTCAGGGTCACTCTGCTGACGGGATGGACAGGGAGGAAGCAGTCAGGGGGACCCAGGCCGAAGCTGATGGGCACAGCAACCCAGGGGCAGGAAGCAGGCCGACGCAGCGGCCTACAAGTAACGCTTTTCATCTGACACTGAAGAAGACCCCCACAGCCCCTGTGCCGGGCCTGTCCCCACAGTGACCCCACGCGGCCCTTCACAGGAGGAGGGTGGCCACCTTTCTCCTCCTGAGCCCCTGCTGGATTCAAACTGCCAGCCTTGTGGTCAGCAGCCCAGTGCTCTGTACACCAAACTCTCTCAGGACACGCACTCCCACCAGGTTGGGTCCCACTCGTAGCGACCCATACATCCTGGGGGGAGGAACGCCCCATCTTTTTCCCACTGGGCCAGTGATGGGTCCGCTGGTCAGGAGCACGACACAGGCTGCAGCATCAGAGCTCCTTCCTTGGTCCGAGAAACCCTTCCCGGGGCATCAGAACCGGCTCCCAGCTGACCCTCCAGCGGGCTCAGGGACTGTAACCCCCACGGGAGGAGATTGCTCAGCCGTCTCCCACAGCGTGGACCGCAGCTGCTTCTTCCCGCCAGGCCACCAGGGCCAACGCGGTAGGAATCAAGCGTGGGTTTGTAGGGTCCGTGGAGACCAGCGTAAGTTTCCTTCTTGGTAGAGGGTTGCACACGCCATGGGCTGTCGGGAGAACGGCCCCACAGTTCTTGGAGAAGGGCAGCCGGGGAAGGATGCCAGGACATCTGCTCACGTGCCTGGACGTAGCACCAGGGCCACTGGGTCCTGTAGGTCCTCGCACTAGGTGAAGCAGGGGCTCAGTGAGAAAGGGGAAGCCCCCAGGACATGGGGTGACACAGTCATGTCAGCGCTGTGAAGAGGGCACAGGGCCGGGCAAGGCCTCCTCCTGACAGGCCTAAGGTCACTGTGACTCAGAGCTGTGCCCCACACGTAGTGACAGCCTGCCAGTAACAGGAGGGGACTGCCCGTCTTTCTCCCTCAGAGCCGCTGGTGTGTTCACACCTCACTCATCGCAGTTCTTTACCATCAGGCCACCAGCACTCCCAGCTGCTAGTGTGAGCGCCAAGGACTCGGAAAGGACTCCAGATCGAGCCTGACCTCAGAGTCGTTCCGAGGTGGGCCTGACGAGGAGCTGGGCCATCTGTTCTTAAAGCAGGTGAGGAGGGGCCCCAGGTTCCCCTCCTGCAGTCAGGGGTCCCTGGCTCTTGCGGTGGAACCAAGCCCTCACCAAGTCATCGCTGGCGCGTGGAGGCACCATGCATGGCTTGGAGGGCAGGGCCGACGGCTCAGAGGGCTGTCAAACCGGCTCTCCTGCTGCTCTCTGGGCAGCACTGCCAGCCAGGCCTGGGCA